ATAACGTTCTAAAACATTTTTGTAGTTTTTATATACAATTCTTACGGTTTCTGTATTGAATGTTGAAGATTTACCAAGAATTGTAGATTGTGGTTTACGTAGAGATTGTTATTATATCTATTAAAGCTTGTTATTATATCTTTTGCAAAAATATCGCAGCCATTGTTCACCTGCACATTTAATTTTCATCTATAAAGTTTCAATTTTTTTATGATTTGATAAAACATACTCATATGCAAAGGACCTTATCTGCTTTACTGTATATCCATAATGCATATTTGCAGCATCTGCCAAGTAGTTTACGAAGTAGTTTAATATTTTTTTTGGTTTGATATGTAAATATAAATATTCGCAACTACCAGATTTTTTAAACTGCTTCAATTGATATATCAAAGTTGATTTTTTAATGTTGCAATGGCTTGCAGCTTCACTTAAAATCATTTTTTGTTGAAGCACAAAATTCACTGCATTAAACAAATCCGTTTTGGAAATCTTTTTGCAAAAAACACCAACCTTGCTCCTTGTGATTTTTAGACCGGAGCAGCCGTGGTGCAGTGGTAGCGCACTTGCTTCAGAAACGTAAGATCTGTGGTTCAAACCCCACCTCTGAGAAAGTTTTGCCACATCGGTTGTGAAGGTGGCGTGAACTTCCTATTAAATGCTCTTCCGCGGTGCTCTGTGATAAGACCGTAAGGACTTCTTGGGGCACCTTAATCAAAAAAAAAAAAAAAAGACTAAAATATATTAGCAGAATTAACTATTTTTATACATTTATTTTTCTATTGCTATGCAGAAATTAGGTAACAAAATGAACTTGATAATAATATTGCTTCAGCTATCCAACTAACTAAACTAACAAAATTGATTATTCTAAGTGTAGTAGTGGTCTAAGAATAAATAGTGAATTGCATTAAAATTCAATTTAGCTATTTCATTGCCATAGTTCTAGAAACAGTTTTGCATTAAAAAGCAATTAAGCACCAACGTCTTTGAAACAAGACGATTTCACTAATATAACTCCACTATTAGATAAGTTAAATATTGAAAAAAAGTACTTTTCTTATGGAGGATTTTAATATGAAAATACTAAAATATAATAAATCAAATCCTATATCTAGCTACCTTAACTCACACATTTCTTTTTCATTACATCCTGTTATAATTCTACCAACACGCATATCAGTTAAATCACAAACGCTTATTGATAACATTTTTATAAACTTCAATTCACCTGACCTAATCTCTGGCAATCTTACTATTTCAATATCTGATCATATGGCTCAATTTATCTGCATTCCTAGAAAAACTAACCACGCCAAAAAAGGTATATCTTATAGGCGATGTTTCAAGAACTTTAACAAAAATATATTTATTGAAGATGTTTCCAACATTAACTGGGATCACCACATAAAAAAAGATGAAGATGCAAATTGATCTATCAGTTTTCTTTTAAAAACATTTTAAAACCTATTAGATTAGCATGCTCCATACAAAAAAATAACTAAGCAGCAAATTAAACTTAAATCAAAACCAATGATCACCAATGGCATACTTAAATCTATTTCCATTAAAAACAGACTGTATTAAAAATGCACAAAATGTAAAGATATTAGTACTAAAAATAAACTGTTTTCTAAATTTAAGTTTTATAGAAACAGAATCAGCAATCTACTAAAAATTAGTAAATAATCCTATTACACAACCTATTTTAGTAAAAAATTAAACAATTTTAAAAAATACTTGGAAAAGGATAAAAGAAATCATTAATATAAACCTTCCTCCTATAGTTCAACTCTCAAACTTAATTGAAAGAAAATATTATCGCAGATCAAACTACTGTATCGAATATATTAAACAACTTTTTTGTTACTATCCAAAACAAACTTTAAAATATAATCATACCTTCAACATCCAAATTTACTGACTATATCAACTCTCCAAAATCTAAATTGTTCTTTATGGATCCTGTCACAGAGAATGAAATCTCCAATCTTATTAAAACCACTCTTAGAACAGGAAAAAGCTTTGATCCTAATAGCCGTCCTACATTCCTTCTTAAACTTATTGCAGACATAATTTCCAAACCTCTCAGTATTATTAAAAATAACTCATTTCAAAACGGTATATTCCCAGATGCTTTCAAAGTTGTCAAAGTTATTCCGAGATTTAAAAATAGTTCTACTATAGTTATGTGTAACAACCGTCCTATCTCCTTCTTTCAAATCTAAGCAAACTCTTTGAAAAAGCTATGCATAAGAAGTTCTATGCATTTTTGAATAAATTTAAATGTCTTTACAAACACCAGTATGGGTTTTGTGCTAATCATTCCACAACTCAATCACTTATTAAAATTACTAAGTCTATTAGAAAAGCTCTTGACAATAAAAACTTTGCACGTGGTGTCTTTGTAGATCTGCAAAAAGCTTTTGATACAGTAGATCATTCTATCCTACTTAAGAAATTAGAAAATTATGGAATCAGAGGAATATCTCTTAAATGATTTACTTCCTATCTTCACAATAGATCTCAGTTTGTCTCAGTCAATGACTTTAAATGCACTTAAATAAATTGTTCCAACGGTGTCCCTCAAGGCTCAGTATTAGGACCACTACTTTTTTTTTCTTTATATTATTGACCTTAATAACTCAATTAAGTTTGCAACTCTTAACCACTTTGCTGATGAAACTAACTTGCTCATTATCAACAAATCTTTAAAAAAAAGTTAACAAATACATTAATCATGATCTTGCCAATTTAGTTCAGTGGCTTCGCTCAAATAAGCTTTCTCTCAACAGTAGCAAAACTGAAATGGTTATATTCAAATCTAATAAAACCAAAATCAATAAAAATTTAAACTTTAGATTAAGTGGCCAGAAAATCATTCTTGTAAACTCTATCAAATATCTTAAAATTATAATTGGTTCTAGCCTATCGTTTGTGTCCCATATTAAAGACTCAGCCATAAAGTTGAGCAGATCAAATGGAATGCTGGCTAAAGTCCGCAAATTAACGAGGAATATCGTATTCCTCATAAGAAAATTAAAAATGCAGGGACCAATGCTATAAACAATTCAAAGTTTTTTTCGAGATTCTATCGTAAAGTAAATTTATCGTAAAAACACAATATTTTGAGTAAATTATTTTTACGTAAAAAAAGCGTAAACACGAAGAATTTATAGCTGTTTGTATTTTTTTCGGCCAATGCTATAAAGTATAAAACGTATACGTCACTTAAATTCACAATTTTTTTATCCGTAATACGTCAATTTTTTTTAATTATTATTATGCGTGGCGTACTTAATAATTTTTATTAGTTTTTAAGTAGGCTGTGCTGTCTATTCCATTTCTATAAATTTTTGTACATTCTAGTATTTAGTGTTTAAAGGAACTGTGTAAAATTATATGAACATAGATTTAATTTTTTCGGATGAAGACTTAGATTTCGAAAATGCAGAAAATGAGCTTCGCCACCGATTGTTTCGAGAGGTTGGTGTTTAAAACAGTGGCGGATTTAGTATAGGGCGTGGGGGGGGGGCGAGCTATACCCACGCCCCTCTAGAGCGGTCTAACGGCGCCCCCTAAAACAATTTATATATATATATATATATATATATATATATATATATATATATATATATATATATATATATATATATATATATATATATATATATATATATATATATAAGATTAAATTACTGAAGGCAACCCCAGTCGCCCCTATTTATTGACTTGGCCCCCCCGCGACACTAAACCTCGATCCGTCCCTGGTTTAAAACATTATATAAAATTAAAAAATTTTGAAATTTTTTTAATTAAATTAGGTAACATACTAAATATGCGCAGAAATTATTTTTTTTTTGTTTTTCTATTGCATTTTAGTTTATTGGTCGCTTTTTTAACGAAGATGTTTCTGACAACGTTTTTCGAAAGCAGTATCGAGTCCCAAGACCTGTATTAGATTTTTAGAAACTAGGCTTAAAGATGATTTGCAACATTATACAAAGCAAAATAAAATCATTATAGTACGTTTTCAGATAATGGTATTTCTTCATTTTATTGGCACAAATGTTTTTTTTCTTGTTCTCAGAGACTGTCATAGAATCTCTACCAACACAATTTATCGTATTATACACAGTGAAGGAGAAGCTATTTTCAATGCTAGTGTAGTTAATAAAAATATTGAAAGTTATACGTTGTCATATAAAATTGCTTATTACTTTTATTTTAGTAAGTAAATTAACAACTAAGTTGAGTAAAGATAAAGTTGATATCTTTTAAATTTAGATTTGACAAGAGATTATAAAATGACCCAATGATTGCTCCACTCCTCCACAAAATTTTATGGAAATTGGAGGTTTTCCTAGCGTATGTGGTGTCCTGGATGGGTCTCATATACTCCTTTCTAACCCTCCTCAAGCAGACGAAGATTCTCTAATCAAACGCCATCATGTCCATAGCATAAATGCAATATCATTATGTGGACCCGACACATCCCTATTTTATGCGTCAACCAACAGTCCAGGAAAGTGGCATTATGCACAGGTAAGTCTTTCAATAAATTATATTTTACAACTGCTAGTGCACTAATGCTGGCTATTCAACTAGAACGTACTTCGGTATATTCATATTTAAACATACTATTGGAACTATTATTGCTAATTATAATGTAACTAAGACTAATAGTATTTTAATGTAACTAAGACTAATAGTATTTTAATGTAACTAAGACTAATATATTGTATTTTAATGTAACTAAGACTAATTGTATTTTAATGTAACTAAGACTAATATATTGTATTTTAATGTAACTAAGACTAATAGTATTTTAATGTAACTAAGACTAATAGTATTTTAATGTAACTAAGACTAATATATTGTATTTTAATGTAACTAAGACTAATATATTGTATTTTAATGTAACTAAGACTAATAGTATTTTAATGTAACTAAGACTAATATATTGTATTTTAATGTAACTAAGACTAATAGTATTTTAATGTAACTAAGACTAATATATTGTATTTTAATGTAACTAAGACTAATTGTATTTTAATGTAACTAAGACTAATAGTATTTTAATGTAACTAAGACTAATATATTGTATTTTAATGTAACTAAGACTAATATATTGTATTTTAATGTAACTAAGACTAATAGTATTTTAATGTAACTAAGACTAATATATTGTATTTTAATGTAACTAAGACTAATTGTATTTTAATGTAACTAAGACTAATAGTATTTTAATGTAACTAAGACTAATATATTGTATTTTAATGTAACTAAGACTAATATATTGTATTTTAATGTAACTAAGACTAATATATTGTATTTTAATGTAACTAAGACTAATAGTATTTTAATGTAACTAAGACTAATAGTATTTTAATGTAACTAAGACTAATTGTATTTTAATGTAACTAAGACTAATATATTGTATTTTAATGTAACTAAGACTAATAGTATTTTAATGTAACTAAGACTAATATATTGTATTTTAATGTAACTAAGACTAATAGTATTTTAATGTAACTAAGACTAATATATTGTATTTTAATGTAACTAAGACTAATTGTATTTTAATGTAACTAAGACTAATAGTATTTTAATGTAACTAAGACTAATATATTGTATTTTAATGTAACTAAGACTAATATATTGTATTTTAATGTAACTAAGACTAATATATTGTATTTTAATGTAACTAAGACTAATAGTATTTTAATGTAACTAAGACTAATAGTATTTTAATGTAACTAAGACTAATATATTGTATTTTAATGTAACTAAGACTAATATATTGTATTTTAATGTAACTAAGACTAATAGTATTTTAATGTAACTAAGACTAATATATTGTATTTTAATGTAACTAAGACTAATAGTATTTTAATGTAACTAAGACTAATATATTGTATTTTAATGTAACTAAGACTAATTGTATTTTAATGTAACTAAGACTAATATATTGTATTTTAATGTAACTAAGACTAATAGTATTTTAATGTAACTAAGACTAATATATTGTATTTTAATGTAACTAAGACTAATAGTATTTTAATGTAACTAAGACTAATATATTGTATTTTAATGTAACTAAGACTAATAGTATTTTAATGTAACTAAGACTAATATATTGTATTTTAATGTAACTAAGACTAATTGTATTTTAATGTAACTAAGACTAATATATTGTATTTTAATGTAACTAAGACTAATAGTATTTTAATGTAACTAAGACTAATATATTGTATTTTAATGTAACTAAGACTAATAGTATTTTAATGTAACTAAGACTAATATATTGTATTTTAATGTAACTAAGACTAATTGTATTTTAATGTAACTAAGACTAATAGTATTTTAATGTAACTAAGACTAATATATTGTATTTTAATGTAACTAAGACTAATATATTGTATTTTAATGTAACTAAGACTAATAGTATTTTAATGTAACTAAGACTAATATATTGTATTTTAATGTAACTAAGACTAATTGTATTTTAATGTAACTAAGACTAATATATTGTATTTTAATGTAACTAAGACTAATAGTATTTTAATGTAACTAAGACTAATATATTGTATTTTAATGTAACTAAGACTAATAGTATTTTAATGTAACTAAGACTAATATATTGTATTTTAATGTAACTAAGACTAATTGTATTTTAATGTAACTTAGAATTTAAAGATTGTGATTTTACTACTATTAGGTTCTAAGAAATTGTAAACTATGGAACAAGTTTGAAATTGGAGAGCTTCCATTTAATGGAGTTGTAATTTTGACTGACTCTGCCTACCCATGCCAATAATGATTAATTCCACCTTTTCCTGGTGATCTAGACGGAGTTCAAAAACGTTTCAACATAGCACAGAGAAAAACTAGAAACATAATTGAGCGATATTTTCCCATTATAAAAAAAAGGATTTATGCTTTGAAAACGGGAATTCGTTTGCATAAGGTCAAAGATGCCTCTAAGCTCATCATGTGTGGATTTGTTATCCATAACTTGTGTATTCGACATGGAGACAACGGTAATGACTTTGAAGAACACGAAAAGAGCAAGCTGATGAAAATCTAGCTCAAGCATATCAGAATGATATAGCTTTGAATAGACGATTACAGCTACTTAACAACTTTACTTAAAAATATTGTTTTAAAAAAGCTTTCGTTATACAATTTTTTTTAGAGCATAGGATCTATCAAAATAGTTTAGACATGGATCATAGATTTGTGTCTAAATTAGTTGAATTAAAATTGGAAAAAAATTCATACAATGATTTTTTATTAAACGAAAGAAATTTTATAAAATATTAGACCATAAAATATGTTTATAATTGTTTTTTAGTATGTGTATTTTTTTAGTATGAAATTTTATAAAATATTAAACCATAAAATATGTTTATAATTGTTTTTTAGTATGTGTATTTTGTTTTTTTATAAAACATGCTTAAAAAAATATTAGGTTTGTTAGCTTTTGTTGTTAAGAGC